AGAAATAAACACTTTTAAAAAGAAGTGCTTTTGTCTAATAGGTGGTTTTGAAAGCTCTTTTTACAGATTGTTTTCACACAATGTATGCAAAACCTGGCAGAGCCATGATAACTGTATATGGAGAAACAGACTCGGGAGGTTTTGAGGTTTGCTAGGAGTTACCAAGCCAATAAAGTGAAGCTGTGTCTGGGCCGAGTTGTCTAACATGTGGTCCAGGGATGCTCATTCTCCCTGCCACACACATTCCCAGAATCCTCCTGGACCTCGGGAAGGCTTGGACTCAGTTCCTGCTCCACTAGAAAAGTGGACAAGGTCATCTACAGTGCCCAGTAAAAGTCCACAAAAGGAAAGGCTAACCAACAAGGGAAGCATCCCTGGGAAAACACTTGCTTGAGGACCCCATACTGAATGGCAATGAAAGTCACAAGAATTCTCTTTCCACTTTTCCATGACTATGTTTACCACTTAATGTGGGAAGATTCACAAATATTTCTAGAGAAAATTATTTCCATTAAAATTAAAAAAAATTAGATTTTCCCCATGTATAGATTTTTAAAAATTGTATTAAAGGGTAAACTTACTGAAGGTAAAACTATTTTTACCTCTGTATTTCAGTGCTTAGTTATCCCAAAGATACTCAGTAGATCTTGGATGGTTGCGATAAATGGATGGATGGATGGATGGATGGATGGATGATTGTTTGAGATGCACTAATTGGAAGCGGGAAGGAAGGAAGGAAAAGGGAGGGAGGAAGGAAAGAAGGAGAGAAAGAAGGAAGGGAGACTGCTTGGGTTGGTTGGATAGATGAAGGGAAGGTTGGTTAGGATGGAAGAAAAGATGGTTGATTGGCTGGCTGGGTGTGATGGAATAATGGGTGAAAGGATAGATTGATGGATGGAATGGATGACTGAAGCTGGAGTTGATGTTAGAGTATAACAAACTCTCAAGTACTGTGGGCTGCTTCAGCTTAGGGACAGAGATGCTGCTGACATAATTTTCTTCTCTTCTGGGAAAGATGGAAATATCTCAGCTTTTTATGCCAGTCTCATTAACAGCTGCCAAAACATATGTGGGGCTCTCAACTGTCGTCCTTCCTCTTCACATCCGTAGGAGGGCAGAGAGAGTTAATAGGCTGAATTGAGACACGAGAGTTAGCATCTTAATTTTACAGGTGGGGTAACTAACTGAACCCTTGCAAATAATGTCCAAGCTACTAGAGACCTTATAAAATACCAGGCATTTAAAAATAAAATTGTAAACCATAGAAATGAACAAAAGAAGAGAAAGAGGAGGGTCATTAAAGTCATTCAGTGGGCTGGGACAGGTCTCCCCACTGTGGTTACTGCCAAGGCTAAATTGCAGTGTGTAATGCCATCTGCCCTGGTATTCTTCTGTCACTCCTGAGAGCTTTTTATTCCACTTTATTTTAGGAATGCCAGAAGGTGGGTTTCTAATTCTATTCCTCTCTAGTTCTTTTTATAGTACTCAGATCTGGGCGAATATCAGTACTATAAAAGTATGTCCTCTTTTTTTGTATTTTAAATCAGCCAGAAGTTTAATATCTTGAATTTCCTGATTCCTTGGAATTCATCACCTGCTGTTTTCAGTGCCAGTTGCACCTGCATGGTTTTCTGAGCACAGGTCTGCCTGCCAGGCCATTAGCAAGGCCATGGACAGATCACACACTTGGGTGTTTTTAGATTCTGTCACTTTAATGCGAGTGAAGTGCTCCAGGCTGCCTGCAACCCCTCCCAGTGTTTGTGAGACAACTGAGCTGGAGGCAGGGGTCCATTTAGAAAGTGCCAGGAAGCCGCAGAAAGTTCTCAAGCACATTTACCTATGAGGAGGACAGCGAATCGTGGCCCTGAGTTTGTTGGGGTCTTTTCCTCTCTGCCTCTTAAAAAAAAAAAAAAAGTACATTCTCCTAAAGGCATTGACTAAGGTGCTATAGCAGGAGCTGCCTGAGCCCCACTCACACACTCATCTTTCCTGGTTCAATGCTGACAGGCTCGAATTCCAACTGCCGACACCTCGTTTTGTGTCCTGAGAACTTTCTCTTGACCCGGAGCCCCCCTTCGCCGCCTGTGCAGCAGGCCTGAGTGCTAGGGAACTGAAGCCCCGGGGAGCAGCCTCCCCAGCTCCCTTGCCCCAGGCGGGATGACTAGGACGTGTATGTTCTTCATTGGCTTCCAGAGTTTTCTGAGCACTTCACTTTTTTGTGTTTTAATTTCCGGTTTCTTCATCCAGGGAGATGAAATCCCTTAGTCCCTTGCTAATTTCTGCAGTTTCATTTTCGTCTGTGTGGGGGTGCCTTTCTCTGTATTTATATTGCCCAGGAATCCCAACCACTGGATTCTGAAGAATTGTGTCTTCTGTTCGGAAAAAGAATCTCAGCCAGTGTCTCTTTGAGGATGCCACTCTCAGTCTTTCTAGTCTTGCCTGAAATTCCTGTTAAGGATATGACAGTTCTTGTTATTTAATCCTCCATGTCTCATAGACTTTCTTTAATATTCTCCATCTCCTGCTGGCTCCTTCTTCCAATTTACAGACTCCTTTAGCTGTGTCCAACTGCTGCTTAGCCCTATCTACTGAGTGTTTCATTGAAACAATCCCACTTTTCATTTCTAGAAGTTCTGTTTGGCTCTTCTTCAAATCCATTGGCTGTATTTATCCTCATTAGTTAGTCTCTCTTCTGTGGTTTTTGTTTTAAACATACTACCTTATGCACTCTACCTGAACATTTTGTTATCTGAAAGCTATGTTTAGCGTGGACATTGACTTTTACTCATGGTGACTGTGTCCTTTAGTGCTTAATAATTTTTTATTTTTATTGTAAGCTTGTCTTCCACCGGGATGATCTTGTTTTGTTCTGTCTCGTTCTCTGTGGGAATCCTGTGCAGTTTGGAACACAAAAGTGTCCCTCCACAATTGTTTTATTTTTGCTATTGCCAAGTTCCTTGGGGATAGTCAAAGCAGCTAAAAAAGTCACCGCCTCTATGTAGCCTGCTTGGATCCCTTTTCCTCAGCTGAGCCTTGGAACTTCTCTGCTTGCCTAGCTCCTTGTACACATCTCTGTGGCATCCCAGACAGCACTCTGTTTTGAGACCGTGTATCTGTTTCCTCAGTGACTCTAGAAGGCCCTCAACACTCATCAGGTCTAGCACAGAACTCATAAATGTTTGCTGAATGAATGAACTTGGAGAAATAAGTCCTCAGAGCCTCAGCTTCTTTGAATGGGAGGTTATCTTCTATCCTTATCTCATGGGATTTGGGGAGATCATAGACCTTCAAGGTCACAAGGTGCTTTAATTCAACCCATAAGATCACTGCATCAAATCTTTAAGTCCCTGCATAAGCTAATTAACTAAGGGGCCCTCACGAGCTGTGAAGCACAGACACAGGCACGTCACCGTGGTTCCCCACTGTCCCACTGCTACCCAGTCCTGGCCACTGGTTGACCATCCAGGATTATCTGCTTTCTTGGTGTTTGGTGAGCCAGGAATGGTTGCAATGGAAGACGGAAGATCCATCATGTAGTAACAGTTTCAGACTTTTCTGAGACCTAAACAAGGCTGTACTGAGGCTGATTGCCTCGGGCTTGTCTTGGACTTATAATCCTTCAAAATCCAATGGCAATAGCCAAGAAAGCAGCTGTGTCCACCCTAAATGCCCGCTGTCTGGTCCTCATTTTCCCAGGCTGCCTGAGCACGCTTTGAGAGTGCTGACCTTGACAT